GGTTTTGAACTTCTGAGCTCAAACGATCTGCCCACCTCGGCCTCCCAGAGAGCTAGGATTACAGGCGTGAGCCACCGTGCCCGGCCCCTGTCTCAATTCTTACCTCCCTACAATCCACTCTCCACGAAGAGGCCCAAATGAGCTTTTAAAACATTGAATCCGATCTTATCACTACTCTGCTTAACACCCTCCATGGGCCTCACTAAATGAAGCATAAAATCTGTCTCCTTCCCTGCTGCTGCCATCTCTCCAACCTCATCTCAGTCCACTTTTCCCCACCCTTCTGATGGCCCCCAGCCACCATGGCCATCATGTGGCTCCTCAGACATGCCAAGCGTAAGTCCCAGAGCCCTCTGCACTATCCGTTCCCTTTGCCTATGACACCCTTCCTGACCAAGCCCTCTTCATCATTCAGCTCTAACCACCACAGAGGGATCTCCCTAATCAATCCACAGCAGCTACTGGCTATTTTCTTGCATATCGCTCTGCTCTCTCTCTCTATAGCACCTACACTATCAGATTTTTTTTTTTATTTATTTATCTGTCTCCCCACCTACCGAATGTAAACTCAGCGTCTGTCATGTTAACTACTGTGTTTCAGTAGAACAGTGCCTGGCTCAAGCAGTTGCCTGATACATACTTGAATGAACGAATACATTTTGTACTTACTTTAAAATAAACAAGCAGGTAGCAGAGTAGCACAGTGGAAGGGTGCTGGGCCCATAAAATAAACAAGCAGAAAACTCTCTTTAGTGGGCTGGGGCTGAGAAGACAATGGTGCTGTAGAGCACCAGGAAGACGTGTGGGTCAGCACGCTCAAGGAGGATCAGAAAATTGCATGAACGTCAACTCTGAGACTGAAGAGCCCAGGGTTGGACCTGGTGGTGTCTCCAGAAACCATCTGTCACAGGTGCTTAGGGGCAAAGCCGACTGAGTGGGGGCCATAGCCTGCACCAGGCATCGGAGGACACACATGGGTACTTTGCTTACAGGAAACATAAGGGACAGGTGGGCTGCCCACCTGGCCTACCTCTTCTACCACATGCCCACACCAAGCAATGTGCTGTTCAGGAATCAAGGGGCAAGCAAAGAAGGGACAGATTGACCCAGAACATTTGGGACTAAATCTTACTACCTTGCCTTGGAGACACTCAGAGTCTAGTAAAGGAGACAGATAATTACACCAAAACTAATGGTACAGGCACAGAGAGCTGTCAGACCTTGACAGGGGAAGCAGGAACAAAGGATGGAATTAAAGCCCCACCCCACTCCACATTTCCCATAATGTGCTAAAAGTCTTTTAAATTTTTTTTAAAAATTATTTATTTATTTAATTTTTTTTAGAGACAGGGTCTCGCTCTATCATCTGGGCTGGAGTGCAGTGGCATGATCATAGTTCACTGTAACCCTAAACTCCTGGGTGCAAGCAATTTCTAAATTGTCAAAGATTTATACACAGGGAAGTTCATCACGTTGTTTATAATCAGAAACAAACTGGACTCACCTAGAAATCCAATGATACAGATAAAGAGATGACAGGATAAATAAACTAGAAAGTTGGTTGTGGGGTAGGGGGTGACTAGCAGCTTGGAGACAGTGGAGGGAAGACTCTTCATTGTGTATATACGTATTTTCTTCTACCTTTCAAGTTTTGTACCAAGTATAAAAAATTCCCTAAAATAATAAAATTAAAGTTAAAAATAAGAAAATTATGTAAGCTTTTCATTGGGAAATGATGAAAGTAAGTTATCAACAGAAAGAATGGTAAAATCCTACTTTGATAATATACAACAACAGGTTTAGATGTATTTGTGTAGAAAATAATATACAAGGACACACACCAAATATTAATAGCAGCTACCTTTGGTTGATAGGATCTGGGTGATTTTATTAATTTGCTTTTTGATTCTCTGAATTTGAAAATGTTTCCACAATAATATCAAATAGGCCTCCAAAAAATAAAGGGAAAAAAATAACATTACCCTTTAAAAGTAAACATAAAACCTGGGGAAACAGGGAAACTAAATCCTGTGAGAGGCCCTGCCATGTTCCAGACCCCTCACACACTACAGAGGCCATGCTGGGTGTGTATGTGTAGGGGGGTGTGTGTGCGTGTGTGTGCGGGGGGCAGGTGTTGCAAATCCTCACCAATGGGCTCTGCACTCCTTGACCCCGCTCTTAAGCACTAACCTTCAGGAGCTTGAAGCGAGAAGCTGGAACAATGAAGTGTCTATTCTGCTTCTTCTTGCAAATGCTGCAGCTATAGAAAGAAAGAACGAATTCTAGATCGTGAGCAGTCCCTCTGCAACCTCTGTGTGTCCAAGGGGCCCAGCCCAATATGATCCAAGAACTAGCTGACCTGAGATTAAACCCCTTTCAGAGCCATCCAAAAAAGGGGGAGCTCAGGCAGATGGCCTGGCTACCCAGGGCCTCTGCTGTGCACGTGTAGCAGAGCCCATGGGTCCCAAAGCCAGCAGTGGAGGCCATGCACCATTCAGAAAACCAGGACCCACAGAAGCACATTTCTGCTGCCCACCCCCCAGTTCTTCAAGTGAAGAGAAACGATGGACTTCAGAGACACATAGAAAACAAATTTCAGACACTGGTAAAATCTTGTGCCTCTCAGGTATCCACACCGCAAGCGGACAAGGAAGCTTAGGTTTCCCTTCTTTCTTCATCTTCACGTCACAGAAAGTCTGTCACCAGGTAAAACAGGTCCCCAGAATTATCATCTCTGGAATTAAGTCAAAGTCCCTTCTTTTCGGGCCACCTTTTATTTTTTTTTTTGAGACAGAGTCTCACTCTGTTGCCCAGGCTAGAGTGCCGTGGAATCAGACTAGCTCACAGCAACCTCAAACTCCTGGGCTCAAGTGATCCTCCTACCTTAGCCTCCCGGGTAGCTGGGACTACAAGGCATGCGCCACCATGCCCAGCTAATTTTTTCTATTTATTTTTACCTGTCTAGCTAATTTCTTTCTATTTTTTAGTAGACACGGGGTCTCGCTCTTGCTCAGGCTGGTCTCCAACTCCTGAGCTCAAACAATCCTCCCGCCTCGGCCTCCCAGAGTGCTCGGATTACAGGTGTGAGCCACCACACCCGGCTCAAGCTACCTTTTAAAAAAATTCTAATTTAGTATAGACTCCTCTAGCAAGTTACCCCACAGTGCTTCTTTCCCAATCTGGCCTGTATTGTTAGCACCCTGGTCAGCTCTCCATTTGAGTAACTCCACGGTATTGATTTATTTATTATTCGTATATAATTCAGATATCTCGGGGCGAAACGGACTGGATACTGTTGAATACTTAGCTACACATTGACTATTGGTCCGGAAGTCAGAGCCTGCTGTCCTTGCTCTATCATAGTGCTGGGGACAGTGCTAAGAAGCAGACTCTCCACAGACCCTGGCAGCACTATCTGCTTCATCTAAAGAACAGAGTGAGAGGGCAGAGCACAGGGAGCCTGCAGGTATACACACCCTCCACTCATGTACCCGCCACCTCTCCCCGACTCTGGAATCCTACGAAGATTCTGTCAAGGCTTTTCACTCAGTGCTCTGCCTGACCCACGTCTAGCTAACCAACCCCACCTCCACAGCAGTGTCGGTCTGAGGGGTGACTCTGACAGCCGCAAGCCCTGAAGACCCTACTCTGTGTTGCCTGGACCTGTGCTGTAGGAGCTCTCTGGCAAGCCATATGAAAGGAAAAAAAATAGAACAATGAACATTTATGTACCCGTCACCTGACTTGAACAATTATCAGCTCATAGCCAATGTTGTTTCATCTACACTCCAACTCCCCAGATTGTTTTGAAGCACGGCATTTTAACTCTTAAATTCTTTTAAGCCAATTTAGGAAGAGAAAAATACTCACTTGCAGTCAAAGATGTGCAAGTCTGCTGGGGCCCAAACTTCAAAACGAACTGCTCCACAGTGGCAGCCTCCTGTGTGCTTCACCAGGCCCTGGTATTCACTAAATGAAACAAAAATCAGAAAGATAAGATTTCTGAATAGTCAGACTCCTGCTTTCTCTTTTGTTGTCGAAAGAAAGAAGATAAGACAAAAGTCTTTTCTACATGACAACCAAAAGCATTTCTGCTTTTAAGAAGGCACTGTCAACTGCATAAAAAAATGGATTTAGTGTTGTCTTTGTCCCCATTTCTTAAATTTTATTAAATTGCAAAACAGAACATTCAAAAATTTCAGAAAATGTTTTGGGAGAGTAGGATCCTAATCCTACTGCCCAAACATTTTTATTTACATGTCAAATACTTACCAAAAAATTTTCATGAGCTAGGCACCAAGGAGAGAGCAGTAAACAAAATACAGCAGACATGGTTGCTGCCCTTACCAACCTTAAGCAGCCATCAAATTACCCAAATAATATTTAATTATGATTGTGATAAAGGTGGTACAGGCTGCTTTGAAAAAGTAAGATGGGGCACCCAACTGAGTCCCACGGTTCAGAAAAGCCTCCTGAGAAAGTAACAAAGATCTTACAATTTTGCTATATTCCCCTCCAGTATTTTTTATATAGCTGTAATACACATTACATGCAATTTTAAT